GTACGTAGAGAGAGAGAGAGAGAGAGAGAGAGAGAGAGGAAGGTTGAGGTAGATGGATATGCCAAAGAGTGAGGAGGGGGGGATAAACCATGATGTCGTTGATTAATACGGTTTACCAGTAAGTGTAACGGAGTGTGCAGAATACGAGTCTGTGCCTCGCACCACCCCGCGCGACCTCTTCCACCACCCCTGCACAGCAGCCTTCTTACGGAAGGAACTCCGTTTCCACCACCACCACCACCACCATCACCACCACCACCACCACCACCAGGAGCTCACCCTCCACCCTGTCGGAATCCGTTGAACCAACCCCCTAGCCACGTGCCGATCAATGGCGTCTTGTCTCTGGTTGGTCGAGCCAGGAACAACCCCCTCACGTCGTCGCGTCGTTTCGTCCCTCTTCCTCTTCCAGGCCACCTCCACCTGCCTTCCATCCTCCTCCTCCCTAAACAGAGACCCATTTCCATCCCTCTCGCGCGGGGCGAGATCCCTCTTCACCTGTCTCGCTCAGCCGTGTGAACACGCTTTCCCCTCTTTTCGGAGGGGGGAACTGCTTTCGAGAGCCGAGCTTCTTCTTCTTCTTCTTCTTCTTCTCCTTCTTCTCCGTCTTCCTCTTCTTCTTCCTCTATCGCATTAGTTCCTCTCGTTTTACCTGAAATAGATTCCTCTCCCCCACGGTTTGTCTTTTTCCGTTTCACGCTAGCTGCTTTAGAGACCCGCGCCGTCTTCCTTTACCTCCCGCTTCCTCTCCCTCCTCCTCCTCCAGGTTTACTCTCTCGATGCAGCCCCCACTGGAGGGGGAAGGGAGGGAGGGAGGGTTGATCCCATAAGAGAGGGCGAGGAGCTTTTCTTATGAGGAGCATTGATTGCCAACAACCCCTTACCCGCCTGTGTTTCTCTTGAAACGGTCCAACCTCCTTTATCCTATCGCTCTTTCGACCCTGTGCAATCCCCCTCCTCTTGTGTCTCGTGTCATGGCACCTCGTCTCGGTTTTTAGGGACGTGGGTTCTTTTTTTTTTTTTTTTTTGTTTAAAAAAATCGTTTTTAAGAAGAAGAAGAAGAAGAAATCAACGATTCAACGTGATGGTCTCCAGAGATGAGGAATATAGTTTGATATATCGAGATATCGGAGTACACAGGTTGGGAGGATCAATTTGCTCTGATCTCGGAATTATTTCGGGTGTCTTTTTTTTCTTCTTTTTATTATTCAGTTTATTTCGAGAGGATCGATTAGTGAAGAATTATTTACTGAGATATTAATACACGCGTTGGTTAAGCGTTCTTATAATCTTGCAATAAATATGTAAAATTCAAGTATTCATCCTTTCAGATAATTGACGAATGTTTTAAATTTCATTTCTTCTCAATATAGTTTGAATTTGCCAATTTCTGTTCTGTAAGAAATTACGTTTTTGTCGTTGCGCATTATCTATTTTCTATTATTCTATTATAGAATAATTTTATTCGACGAAGAAACGACTTACACGTTTAACCGTTTGCTTACCAAGTTTCAAACTGATTACGAATACATCGGCAGATACATGTTGTCGATCAATCCCTTCCTTTGTACACCGCGTGTAATTCAACGCTCAATTGCTATTAGATGTTAGTACTCCAGTAAATCTCTCTGATAGGTTCACTATAGCCTTTGATCACTCGGTACAGAATTGATTCGGGGATCCCTTAAGTGAACACCTGATCCTTCCCCGCATACCATGTTGACTGGATCGTGAAAATTTTAGTTTGCCCGATCGAACAGATTATAAAACTTCGAAGAAATCTTCATCGATCGTCATTTATAAATGGAATTTTCCAGCGAGATACAATTACTCGGGAAAATAAGTATGATGGATAAGTAGTGGAGCGTAATTATGATTACATTATATTTCCTTCGTGAATTCTTCAAATTTTTTTATTTCGAAAATATATTAAAATTATAATATAGTTCGAGAAAAATAAAGTCACGATCATTGCTGGAACGGGAACTTTTTAAGAACTGCGTTAAAATAAAACAGAAGTAAGAAATTTTTCTTACTTTACTGAATTTTCGAATTTTTCTGAATTAACTTCGTAAGAAGAATTAAATAGGTAATGTCGTAAATTGAAAATTTAAAGAGGAGAAGAGGATTTAGCGGTATTAAAAAGTTTCTTGTAAAATTATTTGACAAACTTTCAACAAAATCTTAATTAATAACACAGCACTTTTCCTCTGTTATATTTAAAATATAAAGGATAAAAGAAAATTAATTCGCGAAAATTCACGAGGAAGGATGATACGAGGGAAAGAAATTTTTACAGGAGGCGGGAGATTTTTTTTTATTGTTATTATTATTTTTCTTTTTTTTTTTTTTTCTTATTTAATTGCATTAAACACACGTTTTATCACGAGAGAACAAGTTTATTCGAATAATTCACTACCCACATTTCAGGCTACAATAATAGTTGCTAGTTTGTAACATATTGTTTATTAGATTATCCTTGATTAGCACTGACAATTCACCGGGATTTTAATATACAGGTCTCTACTAGTATCTACGTGTTCTTTTTTTTTTTCTTTTTCTTTTTTCATTCGTTATACCACGCTTTCCATAATCCATACAAGAACAAATTTGAACGCGTCGAGACAATCGCAACGCAAACGAAACGATCGATTAATCAATCACGAATCGTAGACTTGTCGAGATACGAGGGACTATTTAACCACCTTTTACATCGTTTTCACTCCTCTTCTCTACGATTGACATAACACTCGTGTACAGTACACAATTACCTCTCCTCGCTTCTCTAGAATTATACTGTCACGCTGTTGGAAATTATTATTATTACTTTTTTTTTTCTTTTAAGGCATGTACGATTAATCGTCGATTCTTCTCTATTAATAAGGATGCTCGACACCTACTTTTTTTTTTTTTTTTTTTGTTCAAAAATTTTCAAACGATCATTAGATCAAATTAGAACGAATTAAATGTACAAATATATCGTTAAATTATTACCTCCGGAACAATTGAACAACGAAAAGATTAAATATCATAAAAAATATATCATATTCCCTCCATTTTTGCCTGCACTTTGTTATTCCTTCTATCGCTCGATCCAATATCTTTATTCCCCTTTACGGGGAAATCCAAACGATAATTAGCGAGATTAAAGATTTTATCTTCCATCCTTTGCTAAAAGGATTAGGAAAATCTGCGAAACTTTTGCAGTTTTCCCTGAAAAATTAATACCGTGTAACGAGCATCCCTTCTCGGAGGATGTCCGTTATCGTCAGGGTGACGAGCATCCACGCATTCTCGAAATCGTCCGATGCGAATTACCGTGTAATTTGTTACACCGCTCTTTTTATCTCTCCTCTTTTCTTTTTTCTTTCTTTCCTTCTTCCATTTTTCTTTTTTTTTCTTTTCCCTCGTCCAGTGATAGAAACAACATTATTTCAACCGGCGCGTGCTTGTGCCGCGCGAGTAAAGCGGATATCCGTGTTACTCGGATAATACGGATATCCGTATTATTTGAATAATGCGATAGAGTAATCATATAATTCAAGAAAATTGTCATAGACTCGATTTAAGGGTGATAATAGAAATTATCCTATCACGTAATATAAATTATCTCGTGTATCGAACATTGCTATTGGGTCGTAGCCTATCGTGTATTTCTTTTTTTTTTTTTGTTTCCTTTTGAGTCATGATAAAAATATTTCTTCTTCGTCGAGTTAATTGATATATATATATATATTATTTTTTTTTTCTATTTTAACGAGTCGAAACCGAGTTAGATTTGTTTTTTTTGCAATTATTTTAACGCATCAAGTAGCAAAATTGTAAAATCTTTTTAATCGTCCTTATCGAAAAATTACTTTTCTAAAAATTCTTCCATTGCTCTCACGGATATCCGTTTCACCCTCGAGCTATAAATAAATTAAAAATTATCTAAATTCTGGCCGTTATATATTACGAACGAATGTTCCTTGAAACGTCCAATTTCGCTTGTCGGGCAATTTAAGCGCATCAGGCACGTGTTGGTCCTTCGATGCTTAACTTTTCGAGAATCCAGAGAAGCGATATTGTAAGTTGTTTGTTTTTTTAGAGCGCTAACGAAGATCGATCTCTCGTACACAGTTTATACCATTATATTTTTACTTAACAATCCACTGCGATTTTTATTCTGTGAATTATTTACAGACCTCGTTTCGAATTCTATTTTTGATCTCGATTTCGTTGAATTGATAGACTTTCGTGGTTTCTTTTTTTTCTTTTTTTTTTTTTTCTCGTTAAGGCAAATATGCATTCACGTGGAGGGGGAGGGAGAAGGAAGAATTAATGTGAAAAGATTTTGGAAATTTTTACACGTTCAAAATTAATAAGGAATTTTGTTGATTCATTTTGATTTCAACGATGCTGAAAAAAAGATTTGGAAAATCTTTCTTTTTCAATTTCAACGTTTAATAACGTTTGATAAAAGGATGATTTTATTTAAAAAAAAAAAAATCAACTTAAAGCGTACAAGTTCGATTTTTCATCGTGGACGTAAATTTTAGATTTTCACGTGTCATTGGATTTGTATCTTTGTAGATTTGTTCGATAACAAAAAACAAGATTCGAAGCTTAAAAAGTTTTAAAAGCTTTTATTGTACTTTCATCAAGCTATTATTGGCGAATCGTAGTGGAAATAGATTATTTATATAATTCCTCAAACTGGTTTCTCATTATTTGATTTTAACTTTTAATTGAACGCTAAGTAGCTTTCGAAAGAAAACGATTCCCTTTCGATGAAAAAGAAATAAAAGTGAAATTCGTGAAGTAAAAGCGTGAAAAATAAGTTTGATAGAAAAAAAAAAAAAAATTCACTGATGACTAGCGAATGATTTTTCTTCTAAAAAAAAAAAAAAAACGGTTATAAGCGGTTTAAGAATTGCAATATTTCTGGCACGGTTAGAAATATTTCACGACATATTTATCTTCAACGAAAAATAAAATCTTGAAATCTCAAAAATTAGTTAATTAAGTTAAGTAAAACAGAGACGCGTACAAGTCATAGTTTAAAAAAATAATAAATCGAATACATATATATACATATATATATATATATATATATACATACAATACATAAATTTCCATATTTAAATTTCATTCAATTGTCAATCTATTAAAAATCTAATTAAAGGGAGGCACGTTTCAATATTGCATTTTCAATTTACATTCTCTCCGTAACAACCTGTACTACTATTTATTTATTCCTTTATTTATTTTTTCTATACGATTTATAATAATATTCTTTAAACATCTCTAATCACAAATCGAAAAAGATAAAACTTTAAAAAACTTACCAACCAGTATCAAGTATTCCTCGGTATTCGAACGAAAGAAGAAAACGAGAATTTCTCAAAATTAATAATAATCCTTCTCGATAGACTCATCCTCGTCCTACCACCTTCCAACCCTTCAAATCCCTTTCGTCAAAGATCCAACCGTTTCCTCAATATTGTCATTCTTAAACGGAATGAAACGTGCAACAGGCACGGGAGTAAACGCGATCCAGCTTGGTCTCGAGGCTTGGAAAACCCGTGAACCGGTCTCGAAGATCGTGCGACGATCCATCGAGCAAAAGCGAACCGCGACAAGTGGGAAGAAACCCGAGAACACGGCCGATGTCAAGGAGCAAGGACAGTGTCGAGCTCGTCGGACGAGCGCCGCACAAGATCCTAGGGATCCTCCTTGGTGCTAGGCTGTATCTGGTGCACCATGCTCGGCAGATGATGATGATGGTGTTCCGGCCTCCTGGACAGCCCCAGCAAAGGCGGGAGCAACGGTAGAGGCAAGGGCAACGGCAGACCACCTGGGAAACCTGCCAGCCCCCCGAGAAGGGCGGAGGCGGTCGAGTGTTCCTGGGCCTTCCTCCTCAACTCGGCCAGGCTGCTGTTCCTGTGAAGATCCCCGGTCCCCGGCTTGCAACAGCCGCACAGGGAGCCCGGCCATCCGGCAGGTGACCAGGACAGCATGTCCTGCAAGCTTCCAGGCCGGTGGTCGCTCGAGGTCCACAGGGATGGCGTCGTCGAGGTGAGGGACGTTGGCGCGCTGCTGACCACCTTGTTGCCGAATAACGGTGGCGAGAATTGGGCCGCCAAGTGCGGTGAGAAGAAGAGCGACGTGGGTGGCTCGACCGGCCTGAAACCCGCCGCCAAACCCGGTGCGCTGGAATTATTAATCAACGAGTGGAGGATTGATCGATTTGTGATTGATGTTGAACGAGTTGTGTGTCAAGTGTTGCGCGAGGAGATGGATAGATTGACTTGATGCTTGGTTTTTGGACGAGAGGGAATTAGGGAGTAACTTTTTTGTGCAAACACTTATGGATAATGGCTTTCTTTTTAATCCTAATTGATCCATGCGATATATCTCGTTTGTTTAGAACGTGATACGGGGAGGGGGGGGAGGGAAAAATCGAACTATTCAAAGTAAAGTATTCGTACTTATACGAATATTCACAGTTTAATAAGTAATAATAAAATAGTCAAACTTTTCGATTCGATCGAATGATTAAAGAATAAAACGCGATTTTGAAATGTGTCGGTTTAAAAATTCAAACTATCCAAAGTAAAGTATACGCGAATATTCACAATTTAACGAATAACGATAAGAAAATAATCAACTTGTGTTTCTACTTTTCGATTCGATTAAACGAAATCAAAGAAACGAAGTACAGTTTTGAAGTTTGAAAATTCAAAATAAAGTACTCGTACAATTTATACGAATGTTCACAGTTTAACGAATAAACAGTAAGAAAAACAGTTCTACTTTTCGATCGAATAAAGAACAAAATAAGATTTCGAAGTCTAGGACTTTGATGGAAGGGGTGCACGAGAGGGTGGATGAGGAAAGCAGAGGCGGGCTCACGAAAGCGCTAACCCGATTAGCACGCGCGATATTCCGCATCCTCCAACAGCCGGCGGAGGCTGCTTCGAGGCGCTGATGATTATCTCAAATATTAATCGCAAATATTGTTTAATTAATGTAACGAGCCCGAGGTGGAGCTCGAGATGGAGCGCAAGAGTGACGGAAACGAACGAGCCTTCGGGGAAGGGAAGGATGTTTAATTAGACGAACGAAGACGAAACTAAGAGAGTAAACAGAGAGGATAGGATGATGAGTAAACGTGTATAAATAGATGGAGGAATCTGGAGAGAGAGAGAGAAGAAAAAAAGAGTTAAGGAGAGTTAAAGCGTAACGGGGTTGAAAGTTGGTAACGGGATAAATAATTTTTTGAAGATAAATAAGGATGGAAGAATTATTGGCGAGTAACGGGATATAAATATACAGAGATATATATAAAAAAAATTAACCAAAATCAATTTGTAGAATTAATTCTAATCAAGTTTCGACCGAAACTATTTACGAGATAAACTCAATCCAAACTCAACTTTCCAACGAATTTAAAATCGGTGGAAAGCAACTTTCAAGATCGTCCCAAAAATTCGTACCGTCGTCACATGGATGACAGAAGATGAAACGGAAGACAATATATCGAGATCCTTGCTTTTGGAAACGGAGTGCAGGAGCGGATTTTCGCGAGAGGGTGGCGAAGGAGACGAAAGGCAGCGGTAGAAGCGCAGAGAGGAGAGGTTGAACCACGGTAAGCGCGATAATTAGCGGCAATTAACTGCGTAGCCTGGCGCACTTACGCCCGCTTGCTCGCACGCACTTCGTTTCTCCAGTTGTGCACGGTCTGCGTATTCGCTACAATCCTTCTCAGACGTCTTCTCTAAAAGTCTTCGCTTTGACGGATGATACAATAAGTGAAGGTCCCTTAAGGATTAAGTAATAATCGATTTCCAAATGTTGATTTCCAATTTTTCGAGTCTAATTTTATCAGTGCTAATTTTCCATTTCGCATATCTATATGCGCAAGATATTTATATATATTGAGATTATTCCATCTCGAAAATTAAATTATTTAGCTGTTCGAAATTCGGATTGAATAAATCATTACAATCCTAGATTAGTTTGATAGGTTCTATTGTTATCGGATGAATAATCGTACCTATCATGAGCTATTAATATAGATGAGCTGCATTGTATAGATTCAATTTATCACAATATAATACGACATATTCTTGTGTTATTCTCATTTTTTTTCTTTTTTTTTTTATATTTTTAAATTAGTTCTGTCTTATTATTATTTAATCGCGTGTAAAGATATTTTGAACGAAATGTAATTGAGATACAAAGATTCGAAAGATTCTTTATCTGGTTAATCATTTTGTTTCATCCGATGGAATAAAGAAAATTATAAATGGAAAAAGAAATCAGAGCTCATTCTGCGCTATAACGAATCTCGAAAATAAACTTAAAATCTCCTTTGTAAAGAAGTTTAAACGCATACTAGCACGAGGTAGCGCGAGTTTACAGAGCCTATAAAATAGTTAAAGTGTTTGTCGAAGCTAGAACGAGTTTTCTTACGTCAGTTCAACGAGATAAAGCACACTTTTTAATCGTTTCACGGTCTTGAACAACGCTGATAAGGACGTTTTAACGAGCTGGAAGCTTTCATTACTCAAAATTCGATAACGTCAAATTATTTAATTCAATTCCATCTTCGTCAAGATGGATCATACTCGAATAATGTTTTAAATCATTTATAAAAATTGTACGAATCTTAGGATTCCATCCTCCTTTTCAAACTTTCTCTGTTCTGTCTCTCCTAAAATTTGCAAAACACTCAAAGTGACTTTTAATATCATTCACATAATTCGATCAAAGAGATATAGAAAGAAAACTTATTATAAAAATCTTATTCCTTGCGACCACCAAAAACCAGAGTTTCAATTTAATCTGAACCCGTACCTTCGCAACAGAATCCACCTAACAAGAATAGAATAAAAGAATAAAATAATACTGTTAGGTGTGCAAATAAGTTCTTTCTTCTTTTTTTCCAAATTCAAGATTTTATTACAAAAATCAAGTACAAGATTGCCCACTTATCAAACAGATACCGATTCTTCTCGCGTCTCTGATCATTGTCTTTCAAATTAAAATTTCCATTTTTAAATCTTTTCGCGCTTTCTGCAAGATATAGCGTTCTCTTCAGATGGCGCGCGATTTCAGTAGCTTCGACAGCCAATTACCTTTGCTAGAATACAAAAAGTAAGCAGTGACGCGGACGATGTGCACGATATCGTTCGAAATCGTCGCATGGAACTGGAAAGAGTCGACTTTTCTTAACCCTTTCACTACTACGAGCGACTATAGTCGCTCTGCATAAGATGCCGATATGTATTGTACGATTGGGGTTATTGCACATCGAGTATATTTCTCTGGAAACATCGATATTTTGTTTTTATCATCGACTTTTCTTTCAATAAACACCGTCGAAGCAACTCAGAGGTGTAAACGTTGATAATCTTTCTCGTGCACATTTTTAGCGGGGAAGTCGCCCGTAACGAAAGGATTAAGAACGAAAGAGCGCTCTTCCAGATGGCGCCACGATTCGACCTCGGTCAAAAGTTACGATCGTAGAAAAGAAAAGGGGGAAGGAACTTATTTGCACATCTAATATTTGCATCCAAACTATCCTGACCACTTTTAGAAACTCTTCGTTGCTTTTTCAAAAAAAAAAAGAATCCACCCTTATTCCCATACACAGAGTCGTACCACCCTTCCACAACCTGGATCCGCCCCTCGTTCCACGAGGATCGACTCCTGAGAGGAGGGCACAGTCGGAAGACACGGTCTTCTTGGATCTCGTCCGGTTACAGGCAAGGTACGCAGTAAGGAACGTAGCAAAGCGTGCTACTACACCCCTCCGCTCGAGAAGCTGCCGAGCCGGTGAATAAGTGATGAGGATATATTTACGGCGAGCGGTTTTAAATAAATTACAACTGCGGAGACGGCGAACGAGTATCTTCCTACCGTTTCAACCACCCCCCTCTTCTCAAACCTTCTCCTCTTCCTCCTCCCTCCCACCACAGCCCAACATCTTCGCTCCAACTCGAGTTCACTCCGCCGTGTATTCCGTGTGTATTTCGGGTATTGTTCTTACCTTCCACCCCCCACGAGGGGAGCCTTGTCCGGGATTATAAAGAGCCGCCACCAGAGAGTCGGATGCTTACCGTCGTTGAAAAAGAAATCGGCGAATCGTGGATCCTGGAGGGGTGAGGGTGGGGGGGTGGGGTTGCTTTTAGATCTGAAATGCGTTGCGTGCGTCTCGGACGCGTTTCATTGGGGATACAGAGGAGGAATCGGTTGTGGGTTCTTCTGTGGGTTGATGGTTTTATATATATATAGATAGATAGAGATATTGGTGAGGTTGTTTTGTTAGAGGATGATGTTAGGTTATCGCGTGTAAGTGGCGGTTCCTCGGGTGAATGTTTGATGAGGGAATATGGAATTTTAAGGTCTTTGTTTTTTTTTTTTTTTTAGAATTATGTAGCTCTTAGGCGGGTTTAAGTGGGCTTTAAGTTGGAGAGAATCGAATCTGCGTGAGCGCGAAGTGTGTGTATGTTATTCGATTGTTATTATATCGGGAATTATCTCGATGATGGTTTAGAGTGAGGCAACAGTATCGGCGATATTGAATGTCTATGAATATTGATATTAATAACAAACATTTAATATATTAGTAGCATTAATAACAAATATTATTATTATAACCGTGGAAATAGCTCACGAAATATGATATTGTTTTATTAATACCGTTGCGGTAATGGCTTATCCTTATGACGTTCCAATAACATGATTTTCTCCTCGATATATTGTCTCCGTTGAAATATTAATTTGAATTATTCGAATCGTTATTTCGAATCACGTTAATTCGAAGGAACAAGTTTTAAATGCGTTCTACGAAAAAATTTGAAACGATATCGTGTGTTTATTTATTTTCTTATTTTTTTTTTTTTTTTCTTTTAGATCCGGCAAAAAGAATATTCTCAGCTTGTGGGATTTTCGTTTGCTTCGTTGCTACATAATTCATAAATATAAAGTCTCTTTTGTCAGTGGAAAGGTGAAACATGGGAAACTTGGAAATCCATTTTCATATTCCGGCCAGATGCACGCGACTCCTTTTTTCCTTTTTTTCGAATATGCGTCGCGTAAGAAGTTCGTTCAAATTTCAGTTTTCCGCGAGAATTTCTTTGATATTCCTCTCTCTTCTAGACAGAATGATCATTTTCCTCCATCCCCTCCTGAATTTTGATCTTTTTTTTAAAAAACTTCGTTTTCTTATTTTTACCCCCCACGAACGAGGAAATATAGATTCAAAAAAAAAAAAAAAGAATTCCAAGATTACTGTTGGAATCGACTTGCATTTTCATCCCCTCTGCTGTTAAGAAACATCCTAATTAATTGCCTCCCCCCCTCCTCTCATCCCTTCCCGTAACAAAACCTCCCATATAAAAAATCGTATCGTCTGAACCTAAATCTAAATCCTAATTTGCCATCTCCTCCAATCTCTCCAACCCGAACTCTCCAACTCGATTCCCCCCCTCTGCATTATCCACCGCCAACCCTCGCTCACCTCGTTTTGCGCGAAAGTCATAAAACCGTGGCACAAACATTCCTTAAATCGGTGGTGCACCAGGGATCCCTGGGCAGCGACTTAACGAGGCGACAATTATCGCGATTACACGAGTGGAAGCCGAGCATATACCGAGTGTGGGGGGCGAGAACGTGGCGACGAGGGTTGGGGGAAGAGATCCGACGAGAGGAAGCGACGAGGAGTGGTTTAATGGCGCGTATCAAGCATCCGGCCGACGTGTTCAGCGGTGCTTGGAGCGTGGAATCGCGCTCTGAACTTTTGGACGGGGGGAGGGGATGGAGGGGAGGGAGATATTTCCTAAAGACGTAAATACAAACGAAGGTTAAAAGCTCACCTCTCGCCGGGTGGGCCAAGACCCCCCACGGTGCTAGGTGGCGGCGGTGGCGCCCTTATGGGGGTTGGAGGTGGCGTCGAGACGCCACCCAGGGACGGCTGACTCTGCTGGGGCCGCGGGCTGACCGAGGCGGAAGTGGTGCTGGGGCTCCTCGACCCCCCAGCTCCATCTGGGCCGGCGTCCTCCGCGTCGGGGGCGCTGCTGCTCGTCGTCCCTTTTGGAAACGAGAAGAAACGCTTGTTTTAACCATTGATCGTTTCAAACATGGTGCGCTTTCTATTTTTCGACGGTTGTTGTAGTTGGTGTGCAAAGATGGCGGTTGAAAATAGTTTATCATCTAACTTGAATCGCTTAAAGAAACTTATTAATTCCATTACGTAATAATTCTTATTATCAGATAAAAATTGTTTTTTTTTCGCGTTTAATTGTTTGAATCGAAAAGTGAATCGAACGTAAAAGTGTTATTATTATTAAGAAAAAGAATGAATAAGTAAATTTTTTAATATCATTGTTGTATCGAAGTTGAGAATGATGATACCTTCAGGATCGTGTCCTGTGGGACTGGGACCTGCCGATGACGAGGTTGGGGGTGCGAGGCCTGTCGTTTCCAACGCGCCACCCCCTCCGTTACCCTCTCTTTTCCTCTGTTCCTCCTTCAAACGTTCGCTCTTCCTCCACTTGGCTCGACGATTTTGAAACCACACCTGTGAAATTCAAATTCAATTCACTTTTTTCAATTTCCCATTCAATCTGAATGCAATCGAGTCGATTTCAATTTCTTAAAAATTTATTCGACGAAATTTATTATTGTCCAATATTACGTACGGATAATATTCCGATCATCGATCGAAAACAAAAAGGAGATTCAGCTTCGATTTCAACCTCTGAAGAATCGGTGAACGACGAAGACATTTATAAAAATAAAATGGAAGGTGAAAGAGTAACGAAAAAAAAAAAAGAAGGAGAAAAAAAAAGAATAAAAAAAAAAGCAAACGAGAGTACGATGAGGAATGGCGCTGAAGGCGGCACTTAAGCTGCTTTATAGGGCTACACCTGGTGTGCGGATATGGAAGGATAATTGCATGTAGGGGATGGCATTCGTGGCTGGACCAGAAGGGGGTGTTGGGCCTCTTGGCCGCGTGCATGTTCAACGAGCTGACAGCAACCACGGCGGCCGAGTGTTTTTTAAAAAGCTCGAGTTCCGCTAACGAGCCTAACTTGACATAATACCAACTGAAATAGACTTTATTATACCCGCCGGTCCTCCGCCGCTTCGTGCGTGGCTGTTGCTTTCCAATTGCTACCCCTAACGCGGACCGAGTTTCTCCTTTGAATTCTCTCCAGCATGATGTTCTTATAGTTGTTGCAATACGAACTTTTTTTCTTCTTCTTCTTTCTCTGGTTTACGGACGGAACCATGATTCAATTTTTGCAATGAATGGACACGTATTATGTTTCTTTTTTTATCATTTTTATCATAGAATAATTCTTCATGAAGGAAAAGTTTTATACGATATAGAAGGTTGTTTCGAAATCGCAAAAAGAAGTTGGACTTTAATTAAACGAAGGAAAAAATTAAAATCCAAACTTAATAACTTGGCGCTATTAATGGAAAGATAGCAAGATACGATTCTTATCACGATCAACCGTCCCTGTTGAGCCCCTGTTCCATCGATCCGTCGCACCAAGTGTCGAGAGATTAAATGCGTTTATCTCGTGAAGGGAAACGAGTCGGCGCCATTACCGGCGTTTCTCGGATTAAATTCGTATTGAAATATATAAAAAAGGAACGAAGAAAGACGAAGGGAGAAGAAGATAAGAGAGGAGGGAGAGATCCAGTGTGGAAAGAGTCCCGACGGAACCGCCGGCTTTGTTCCCAGCTATTACTCGCCCCCGCAACCCCGAGGATATTATTATATCCCCTCCCTTCCCCGTGCGCGAAATTCGAACGAAGGCAACGTCGAGCTCGTCGTATTTATTTTATTAAAACCATTTTCCAACCTTCGTCTCGTCGTCGAAGAAACTTTCTCTCCCTTCCCTGGTGGAAGATAATCATTTCCTCGATCCGTAATAACGCGTTTTGTCTCTTGGAAGGGGAAGGATCGGGGAAGGAATTACGTTTGCCAGGAGAGTAATCGATTTCCTTCGCCAAGTTTATTCCATTATCGATTCCAATCCGTTAATGAGTTCTCGCTACTTTCGCGCCGTGATTCTTTCCAACTTTGTCTGATTCGTTTAACCGTGAGATAGATTTCTTTCCTTCTTTTCCTTCTCCTGGAGGAATGGAAGAAAGTTTGTCTTAGGAAGGGTTTATGACGGGGTGATGATGTTTCATTGGATTGGATGAAATGTTTAAACGTTATGAAACGTTAGTCGAAGAGAAACGTTGATTGAAATAAATTACGTTAAGTAATTAATGAATTGATTAATAATTATTCGCGGAGAAAATTTGATTTGGATGAATCAAGAATCATCGGACGGTTTTTGAATGTATATATATATATATATATATATGCAAACACAAAGCCTCTTGTTCATTATGTTTTCATTAAATGAACGAAAGGAACATTTTTGCTTGCAAATTTATAAGCGCTTTATCGCGGTATGTAATCCAATGGTGAAAGGCATCGTTGTTCTTCACCCTCGTTGTATTTCATACGTTCCTTCCTCTCACCATCCCCCTGTTTTTCTTCGCATTTTAATCGTCTTTTTTCTCTTTTCTTTTTATTCCGTTTAATCCGAACACACGTCTGCAATGGCATTGTTTCACTCTACTCTAAAGTCAAATGCGCTTAATCTCTTGACACTTGTTCCCCAAATGCTTGCTTTTAATTATTCTTCGCGTTATTTGCCTCTTCTCTCTCTCTCTCT